ACACTGCTTGTGCCCCCGTTTTGCAAAAATTGGAAAAAAAAAAATACCCATCCAGTGGATAACTAAACAAAAACCCCCATAAACCCCCCCCCCCCCCCCCAGGAGCTGTTTTTTTTCAAAACAATTTGGGGGGGGGGGGGGGGCTTAATAGAGACGGGGGCTTATTTGAGAGGGGGGCGGCTTATTTAATTCAGCAAAGTTCCTGGCATCAGTTCTCCATCAAGAACTAGAATACAAAGTGGAAAAGCTCAAGTACAAGAAGGTGGTAGTCATGCAGCCAAGGATCAAAAACAAATCCGAACTTATAGTTGGTTAATAAACTAACTCGGATTAGTCCACACGAACTTTTACAGTCGTGATTAATTAATATAGTCCAACATTTATTAGTCTATAAGAATGAGAGGGGGGCGTAAAAGAGAGGGGGGGCTTAATAGAACATTTACGGTATTAGGGAAACCAACTGCCCAATCCACTAGATAAAGATTTATGTTGTAGATAGCGTTATCGACCTTTCGAACAACTGGGCCCTTGAAGTATTGAAACAGAAGAGGTTTCGTAGGGAGAAGGGGAAGGTTTAAAGGATCCGACCCCTCAAATTCATTGCACTGTTTTATGTAACGTCACTTGACTGATGACTGCTTTGATAATAAAGCGCAAGTGTGGAGAAATGTTGGCTGTTTACCAACGTACCAATCAAAACAGGAAAATTTATACACCACACCAGTGCGAAGCCCTTCAGGAAAAGCATCTTTCACGCTGAACAAATTTATGATTTTGAACGTAGCGAAAACTAGCGGGACATCGATAGGTTTACTAAAAAGGTTTGCGAGCTCGCAGTCGCGTCTCCTATTTTGTCCAATAACCAAGAAACGAGAAGTGCAAATGCAAGGTATTTTTGAATTCTACTTTTGATAGTAAAGAGAACAGACCGCACCACAAAATACACAGAAAGTATTCCACTTTTAGAGTGCAATATAGTGCAATATCCAACGGGAAACTAGTGTAAAGTTGCCAACGATTTTGAACAGGAGGAAAAGGGCGAGACAAAATACTTCTTACCTTTTGGACTTTTTAAGAATTCCTTTTAGTGGTTTTTTGCTCTTTTCGCTGGTGGGTTCTTTCAAGCGACTCTTGTGAAGTACATGAGAGAGTAAGCTCTCCTCTTTAGCCTGTTTAAGATCTTTCTCAAACTTGTCCAGCGCGCTTAAATGTTGTGCTTGTAAGTATAAGCTTTGCTCCATCGCGTATCGAAGCCTTTTCTCGAATTCTTCAACCCGCTTTTTTTCGTCCACCGGGGAAGGAGCGTGCTTGCTCGGAGTGGAACAATGCGCAGATTCCTTTGTGCGGTTTTCGTTGGTTGTTCCTTTCTTAGCGCCTCTCTCTAGGATGTGGCTAAATAAACAAGAATAGAAAAATCTTAGGCTGCATTTATTATGTATACTGAAAGGGGAACATAGGACAATTTTCAAAATGGGAATTATTTTTTCATATCCTTACCACATCATACAGAATTTTCTGACATCCCCCTCTAACAAAAGTGACAACCCCCAACTTGATTAGCAACGAAAAATACCAGCAATGTAACGGTCATTGGTGCAGAGATACATCTAAAGTAGACTATTAGAGAAAAAGGTAACAAAAGGGTTATAAATGTAAGTATTTCTTCCACTTTTTATTTTCCTTTACCCAACATTTTGTATTGTTTGTTTAATATCTATAACCATTGAAACGAAGGGAGCGACTGTGACAGCTCCGATATGATTATCTCGGGTTTCCGAGTCCTAACATAAAGAAACCACTCCCATGAGATGTTCCTATGATGTGTGAAATGAAATTTGCTTAGAAAGCAAGAATATTTCATGCTAACCTTAGTCGAATCTGATCCTCTTCTGCCAGTTTATTAGACAACAGAGGGGTCCCCTCTTGTGGTTCTGCGCTCGTCGGATCGGGACTTTTCTCATCGCCAGCGTCGCTATCAAACATTACGTCAACAGTGAAGTAGATGGACACAAGAAAACAGAAGCCTCCAAACAGAAGCAGAACCTAAAATACAACGCATTAGCAAAATTATTAGGAATCATAGTCACTGTGTGGGAAAATAACTTTTTTCGTTTGATGATTCGTAAAGCACACATTATAAAAAAAGAAATGAAGAAAAAACATTGAAAAAAGAACGAGAACGAATTTTGTGCTCCTGTATACTCGTTTTTCCAAATTACAATAATTTTTCTATCAATAACGTAGTTCATTTACATGTAAGAGCTTACATAACAAAACCAATTTACTGACGTGACGTCGTGTGAAAGTGCTCTATTATATAAACCACACCCTGACTCAGGGTCAGAGCTACAAACTTCAGCTGCTTTATCCCTTTTGCGGTGGCCGTTCCAATCAATTTCCCAGTGAGATCGGCCTTCTTTCACTTGACTTGTTAAAAAATCACGCAAGTTTACAATGATTCACACTAGGGTATTTAGCAAAAGCAAAAATGACTTATTTTTAATTTAGCCCTTAACTGACGTCGTTGTTATGCTGGAAATCTGCAGTATTTGCCGCTTAGAAATAAAATGAAAATAAGACACACCTTGAGGGTCCTCTCGGAAACCACGTCCTGAGGGGTGTAGAGTGGGGGTCTGTGAGGGCACGGTGGTGTGTCATCACTATGGAGGTACTTGCCACTCGCCGCTTCTTCAACAAGTCTGGAAACATAGCACCACGTTTATTAATCAGTTTGTACACTCTACGTTCCTCATTTCAGTCAGATAGCCGAGCACGTTCGTTACAAAAACAAGCTCGGCAAGACTGCAAGAAAGAGTGAGCCAGACTAAACACGAAAACAAGCTCATCAAGAATGGAAAGAGGAACAAGCCGAGAGAAAACTGGCCCACCATTTATTTTCTACTTTGACTGCGGCAATGTACAAAAGAAGAGGCTGTTATCATCATTCTTCAAAGTTGAAGTCGCCGCTCTGCAACGATGTTGTTGAATTTTTTTTGTGTGTGGAATTTTTCATGTTTTTTGAAAGTGTTATCTTGTTTCGGAGTATTGAAAAATTATAAAAAGAAGAAAACTCAGTCACTGGAGAGAGATGAAAATATATTCTGAAAAATTATTTTATGTTCCTACTTCGGCTTTCAGAGTTGAACAAAATCCCATGAAACGAAAGAAAAAGCAGCTGAGAGTTTTTCTTCTAGGGCTTACGCCCTTGTTTCTCGCGGCTCGCCGCTTTGCCGCTCGCGTGCTTAGGTTTCGCCTGCAGTAACTTTGCAAAGAAAAATAAGAGACTGCTCGCAGTCTAAGAGTTTTGACTGAGTTAATAACTGCCGTTTGAATTCTCCCCTCTTCTCCAGTTCCCCCGGTCCGTATTAGCTAGTCCTTGTTAGTGTAATAAATGGCTGCCTCACATAAAAAGTAGCTGTGCTATCAAATAACACAACACTGAGTTACGAGGTTTAAAAAACGTAAATAATAAAAAGCACTACAATTAAGAACTAGTTTACAAATAACAAACATAGTTTTGTTGTGTCACACCTCTGTTTCTTGTGAATTTTTTCAGGAGTCATGGACGATCCATAAAACGTTAGCTTCCAATCTTTTAAGTATCCTCGGCTATCATCAAACCCTGTAATGAGAAAAATTAACATAGAATAAACCTTACACNGCGGCAATGTACAAAAGAAGAGGCTGTTATCATCATTCTTCAAAGTTGAAGTCGCCGCTCTGCAACGATGTTGTTGAATTTTTTTTGTGTGTGGAATTTTTCATGTTTTTTGAAAGTGTTATCTTGTTTCGGAGTATTGAAAAATTATAAAAAGAGGAAAACTCAGTCACTGGAGAGAGATGAAAATATATTCTGAAAAATTATTTTATGTTCCTGCTTCGGCTTTCAGAGTTGAACAAAATCCCATGAAACGAAAGAGAAAGCAGCTGAGAGTTTTTCTTCTCGGGCTTACGCCCTTGTTTCTCGCAGCTCGCCGCTTTGCCGCTCGCGTGCTTAGGTTTCGCCTGCAGTAACTTTGCAAAGAAAAATAAGAGACTGCTCGCAGTCTAAGAGTTTTGACTGAGTTAATCACTGCCGTTTGAATTCTCCCCTCTTCTCCAGTTCCCCCGGTCCGTATTATCTAGTCCCTGTTAGTGTAATAAATGGCTGCCTCATATAAAAAGTGGCTGTGCTATCAAATAACACAACACTGAGTTACGAGGTTTAAAAAACGTAAATAATAAAAAGCACTACAATTAGGAACTACTTTACAAATAACAAAAATAGTTTTGTTGTGTCACACCTCTGTTTCTTGTGAATTTTTTCAGGAGTCATGGACGATCCATAAAACGTTAGCTTCCAATCTTTTAAGTATCCTCGGCTATCATCAAACCCTGTAATGAGAAAAATTAACATAGAATAAACCTTACACACATTTTGAGTTTTATTTCCTCTGTTCCATATGTTTTTGACGCAAGATTTGTTCCTCTATGGATTAGTTCATTTTGGACTTAATAGCTTTTTAAAACGCCTATCAAAAAGAAAATGGCTGGATGACCATAACATTCGTCGAAAATAAAAACCATTAGAGTGAACAGGAAAGAAAATGAGTAAGTGCAATGTTGCACTACAAGAAAACGAATCAATTGCATACCATTGTCGACAACTATAAGCTGCCACGTTCCTTGTGGCTTTTCTCCCCAGCATCGTACGGTAGAAAATGTCCAGTCCACAAAGCCGTCTGATGATCTGCGCAGGTAATTAGTGAAGGAAAGGAAACAGTAACAGACTGAGGAAAATGCACACGTTTGTTTTGTTCGACTTTTTCGTTGGTCGCAAATTTAAAATATCAAGATAACTTGGGGCCATGGAAGGTATTTTATTCTCAAGTAACACAAAATGGCGCTCTACACCTGGAAATTACAGCATTTTACGAGCTTATCGGAACTAAAAATGTTTTAACCCGGGAAACTACCCAGTCTAAACTGTACAAGCCTGCTCCACTTTACAGTGTATAGTATATTCTACAAATTTTCAAGTTTGTTGATGAATATTCAATCGTAAGGCACCACTACACAAGCGAGTTTGTTGTTGGAAACTGCAAGACAGACAAAGGAGAGAGTGGTTTTCAAACACCCGCAAAGCCTTTTCATTCACGTCTTGCGCGTGCTTTCAGCGCATTCTCAACTCACTTCAGGCAACAAACAGAAGAATGAACAAGAAGTCAATTAAAACTGAAGCAAATTCATGCCGCCGTCACTTAAACAGCAAAATCCTAGCGAGGAAGTTGCAAAAAAAAAGTTGTAAATTGTTGTGGTTTCACTTCTGATTGGTCGGGAGAGTGACATGAGAATTGTCAGTCAATTACGTAGCGTAGGAAAGCTCAATACACAATTCAAAACTGCTGTAACATAGGAAGTCTGATTCACCTGTCGAGTTGCCGGGCTGTTGCCAGTTTGGACGTTGTTCCTTCAGCGGACACTAAACTAACCATTAAATTACCACGATGATGGTGCTGTAGGTTCACCTTAAAAAATGAAACAAGAGATTAACTTAACAAAAACGAGCTTTATTTACATGACTATCATGACTAGAATTAGCGAAAATAATAATAATAATAATAATAATAATAATAATAATAATAATAATAATAATAATAATAATAATAATGGAAACTTTATTTGTGTTTTTAAATGTACAACTGTAAATCTCGCTACGTATAGGCAATTTACAATCGGCTGCTTGAGATTGAATTATTTAAAAAAAAAAAATCAAAATTGTATTAAGTCTGAGCCCCAATTCCTGTTTCTACAACAAAAGATGTAATCTTATAAGTAAGGGTTTTCTAAAACTTACCACAGTAAAAATCACGGAGTAAAAACGACGTTTCGGCCGATCTTCGGTCATTTTCAAGTAAGTAAGAAGTTAAGAGAATTAGCATATATATGTGTAAGGTGTAAAAATATGTTAAGAACTTATAAAATGTTTGAAAATGTAAAAGAATGAAGTAAAGCATGCAGAGAAAGGACAACAATAGAATATAATTAAAAGAGCTATTTAGCTATCATTTTTTTGATTATATAATGTTGTTGCTTTTTGCAAATGCCAATGTCATTCATCATGTGTAAGAACGCGGGGCATTTGTGGGAGAAAACGCCAAGGGAGCTCATGGATAGGTTTACAAATTTCACACATTTGTAATTTCTACTCATTTCCTTGATCAAATTCAGATATTTTGCTTTTTCACGCACTGCATTGTTATTAAGGTTAGACTCAAGACCAACTGTCCATTCTAGAACTGAACATATAGGCACTTGGACTGGATTAGGAAAAGAAGATCTGGACGATAATTTTCACCAGTAATTACTGAGGGATTCAGAAAACCATTAACATTGGCATAGAGTGAAGAGTGAACATTAATTACGGGTTGAAGTGACTTGGCGATGAAGTTAAGGATTGAGTCGTGTCTCCAGGTGAAGCGATCGGTATTGTTGACAAACAATAATAATTACCACCATACATGTGGTCAGCCATGACCATATTTCACCAAACGGCAAACTGCAGACTCAATTGGGAACGTCTCAAAATAGAAAATGAGCGGATAAAAACAGTCTGAAACAACTCTTATGGATGAAGATAACGTGAAACTACTTTTTTTTTGCAGAAGAAAAGAACAGTAAAAGATATGTAAAGAGAAAACTTGGTCACGTGGTACAAATTCACGTTTGCCGTTTGCCTTAAGCGTTATTCTAAATCTCTCTATATACATGAGTCATTATACTTACAGTAACTGTTACGTGTTCTAAAGTTACCACTTCTGTAACCATGTCTTTCGAAACTGTAAATAAACAAAATTAGCATTAACGGGGTTACCTTAAGAAAATAAGCCTGGGTTTTCATCATCACAGCATTTTCGTACGGAAAATGAACCACAGCCATTTTGTATCGACTGTTCAACTTGCGATCCATACCGATTCTGAGTATATGATTACAAGCGAAGGGGGGCACGGATACCTCAAAGGTTTCAGGGGAATGGAGCCCGTTTCTGCTTTTTGACGGGTTGGACGCTTAGTTTTATTGCGACGACTCATGAACAGCTCTGTTGGATTATCCGAGAGTGATGAAGGAACGCGCTGTTATTATTCATTAAAATTATTTCCCCGTTTCTGATTGGAAAATATTGTGATATGTGAAAAATGACGTCAAGTGTGCAGCAAAAATTGCCAGATTATTGAAAAGTTAACCGAGAAGACCTGGGGACGAAGTTGTGAGTCCAAAAAAGGCGGAATATTTCACACGCTTCACTTAGAAGAAATAGGCGAACTATTAGCTAACTAAGAAGAAAAACATAGCAAGAACAGCAAGAAGACAACTCGACGGACGACGTCTACTATTTGGGGAATATTTGCAGAACTGAACAACCCTTTATCCCCTAAACATGCCGATAAACAAGCATTATCGAAGATGAACTTAACATCGATGGAGGTAAGCATGTTTTAGCTTGTTTTTAAACTAGGAGTTATTTTTAATGACAAGGCCTCGGCAGATAACACCCTCCGAGATCTCCATAATTCTTCAGATGATACTTCGCTTTATTCAATAATTGTTCAGTATATTCCTGTACATACCGTAATATTTTTCTATGAGTTGATTACTTGATGGTGGAATTTGTTTCTCTACGTGAATAACAGGGGTTGACCAAGATGTCATCCATGGAACTGCTTCCCATACCTATAGACAGCATATAAACGTTTTCTAATCATAGCACTACTACAGACAATTCAGTTTTGGAATGCAATTCAGTTATTTCTCTCTTCAGTTCTTTTTTTTTATGGACTCTGTGACAACTCAGATGAAAACCACTCCGCTAGCCTGCGTAGCAAGCGTTTCCGTTTGGTTTCGGAGCAAAGAAAGACCGAGGAACGGGATTCTCGGTTTTGGCCGCGCGAGAAATGAAACAAGAGCCAAAAAATTTTTCGCACGGTCTTTGATTCTCGTTCCTCGTTCTTTGCTCCTAAACCGCACGAAAACGCTTGCTACGCAGGCTACCACTACGCTGTATTGTTCACCCTGGTGTAAATGTTTGTTTGTAGGTTAGTTGGTTTGTCAAATTAAAATATGCTGTATAGAGCAGTTCTAGTCTACAGATAAAGAGTGACCCTTCAATAGAAAGCTCTTTAGGAGAATTTGCTTGTATTAACCAGTGTTCATTATATTACCCACCCTAACTCTCGAGTCCAAAAATGTTCAAATACGTCTAATCGACTGACACTTTCTTATAGTTATGTTTATCACAATTAATGTAGTTCTTAGCATCATTCTGTTAACAAAATCCTAGACTGCACATCACTGAACCGAAGTATCTGGCGTTCACATTTCTAGTCATTTTTTATCCTGGCGAGCCCGTTGGCAAAACACGGCGTATTTCCTAGTTCTTGACTCGTCCCTATTGTTTTCCTTTGAGGATTTTAATCAAGACGGATAATTTGAGAGAGATTTACCGAATGTGAATAGCCTATGTTTTGCATTAACTGCCACGTAGCCACTATTTTGTCTATTACTGCTGATTAAGATTAAGATCTGCATCACTATCACTGTCGCTATACCTTAGCAGTGTTGACCAGGCGCCATGAGTCCAGAAGTCCAAATCCGTATTTATGACTATGATGATATCCTGCCCCATTTGTATAATAATCATTATCATCTACATCGTGCTGAAGAAAAAAGTAAAAAAGTAACTCTCTTTTGTAGGGGGTGTCATAAATGAGGTTAACAGTGAAGAGTATAGCCACGACTTAACGCTTATAAAAGTAACGAAATACGAACTGACCATTGTATAAAAAGATGTCGTTCTTATAGCGTATACGGTTTGTAGAAGTCAAATTTTGAACTTTCTTTTCTACAAGCATTCGTTTTGTTTCGTTCATTTCTAGCACCGCGTGGACCGTGTGAGGGATGCGTGATATTAGTCCGCGGGCTTACTGGTCGAAGGGAGAACTCCTCGTGACCATCCGCTGACCATAGAGCCAAAGGACTATGGGTACGAGATCTGAGTAGCTAGAGAAAGCGAAACATGGGGGCACATGGAAAAACACCTCCTGCGTGGACACGCAACTTCCTTTTTACCTTTTACGCGCAACTCCTCGCTAGATGCAGGAAATACTCGCTCTACCATCCCTAGGATCTATTCCTAATCTAACTTCGTGCCCGACCCAGTTAGAAACACATCATCTTCAATTTACATCGTGGGTGTCCTGTGCAGTTAGTGTTACACATTTGTTTCGGATCACGCATAATACTTAAAATACCCTCGTACCTTAACGGAAGAAATGGCAATGATGTGTTGAACATCTCTCCAGGAAAGACAAGGTCTGAAAAAGGAACAAATTAGCAAGTCCTTCAGTATCAGTGGGACGCCTTTCAGCAATACAACCGCTTGTTCCATGAGAGTCTGTAGAGATTAAACTTGTAAAGCTCTTATCTCATTTCTCCTCACCTTATTCTCACATTTAATTTCGCGAGTACTAAATTTCGTGAAAAATAATGAGCCATATTTCGCGATTTTTAGGGTTTCTCTGAGAAATTTTAGGGATTTTAGGGGATGTTTAGATTTCGCGTAATCAAATTTCGGGATTTTTCCCTAATCGCGAGAATGGCGAGATTTAATACTCGCGAAATTAAGTGAGAATAAGGTACTTTGTCACAACAACAATGATTCTTAAGAGTTACAAACGATTGTTAACCAAATGTCTCCCGGCAGACCTGGACCAGTTAGGGAAAATCCGCCGACACCACTGAAAAGAGCGCCTTTATATTAGTACAATTGTCAAATTTGAAAGTGATTCGATAAAAACTAACGAAGATGTAGCTCCTCAAAGTCGTGAAATTTTACAAGACGTTTGCCTGGTGGTCGGCACAAACTTATACCCCCCCCTCCCCTCCCCCACCACATACCCTCGGTACCAGAGGGTTTTTTTTCGTCGCTATTAAATTCCCGATAGTTCTTCGATCGCGTAAGACGTATCACTTTAAAGTGCGGAAAGTGATACGTCTTACTCGTTTACTAACGTCACATTGCTCCTTCCAGCGGTGTCCTCGGATTTTGCTAACTAAGTTTTATCAACAGCTGAAAAAAAAAAACCGTTGAAAGTTCTGTTACTTGTAGAACGATAAGAAGAATCGTTAAGGAGGAAGCTCATCCTCGGATAATTAGGGTAAGTCAGTCGGGATGGCAAAACGGAGCTAAGCAAACCGTTTCCTCGTCCGAACAGCTGACTGACAGTACCTCCATCTCCGAGAATGGGATGGGTTGTGATAAACCTAAGTTATTACCCGCGACCTTAAAGAGTTGGTGCGTTTTCCAGGAAGGTTCTAAGCCTGCATGTTCTGCTGCAAGCTGATTTTAAGATATCACGATAATTATGTGCGTCTGTCCTTTCAGAGTTAAGAGTGACGTGAGTTTCAGGAGCTTGCATTTGGCAGGTGCTGCACGTTAATCTTACCTGGCTTGTAGCATTAATGCTATCATTCCAGCAGCTAATGGCGCTGCAGCAGAAGTTCCTGTGTGTTTGTCAGTACACCCGGTACCAGTACCAAGTCTCCAGTCAGTTGTTACCTGGACGACAACAGAGGACAGTAAAAAAAGAAAACAAATTGGCTTGCCAAAATATTAACAAAAAAAACAGATTCTGCAAAGCAGGGAGAACTAGTAGTTAAAGAGACGGTACAGGATCACAAGATGGAAATCATTTTGTGACCGAGACTTACTCAAGAGAGGAGTGCTGTGTCTCCCCAGCATTAAACTAATTACACAGCACAGGAGGCGAATAGCAAGGCTATGCATGCTCTACAAAACACTGAACAACGAAGCAAAAATTACTTTTCCGACCTATGTCCAGCACCAGCAACTCCAATGGACCAGCCATCCCCATCCACTTAAGTATACTCCACACCAAGCAACAAGCTTTTGGCCAAGAACGATGAAAAATTGAACAGTTTGGATGTGGAAATTATACAATCGAACTCAATTCTCTGTTCAAACGAGCTCTGGGCTCCGCTCTAACGATTGAGACCAAGTGTTAATGTTAGTTTAGGGGAGGGGTAGATGGGCAGTTTCCCAGGAACCTAAATTGATCCAAAGGTTGTTGAGATCCAGAAATATTGCTACCATGGTAACCTGATGTCACACTTCTCCTCTGTTCTGTCCTTTTAAAAATAATATCAATCATTAGCGGGTCGAATTCGAAAATCTCCCCGTCAATAACAAAGCTTCATCGTTTAAACCACATAACGGTAGCCATTTTGTTATCAACACAGTACATAAAACCGAATTTAATCCATAAATCGAGGTGATCTGATCAACGTAAGTTCCGACTTGGCATTTTATTACTAACTAGTTTCGTACCGCACAACATGTGCGGCACTTCTCTAATATATATAGCTCTTACTATGTTTCTCTGCATGCCTTGGCCACTACTGTAGGTAACTGCAAGCATTGCCGCACAATGCTCTGCATAATACGGCATATCACCTAACTCATCCACAGCACCTAACGAAAACAAAGAAAACAACAAACAATTCACATCATACAACAGATATCCAATAATCATTCACTTCTTTGGGAGATTGTTGAGCTTTCAATGGGTGGGCAAGGCATCCTCATGGGCCTCAAGAAAACTGGCGAGACAATTTACGCACAATAATCAAAACTTAGGTAGCCACAGATTTGTTGGATAGTTCTTAAAAAGAAAGGTGATTTTTTCCATCGACTAAATTTTCTTTGAACAAGTGAAAATTAAGCACTTTTTTTGTTCTCAGGTGTCGTATTTTAAGGGCAAGATTTTATCTTTTGAAAAGGCGTTACTGCGACCCAAAAGAGTCACAGTTGTCGCCGGCGTCTACCAGGTGCCACAGTATTCAGGGCTTGTTTTATTGCCTTTAACAATACGGTCTTTGACTAGTACCATTCAATGGCTAATAATGTACTGTGATACTAGGACTGGCTGTGATACTATCATGTAATACTCTCCTACTGTGATACTAAAACAGGCTTGAGATGTCGGGAAACAGGAGCGTGGAAACAAAAGAAGTGAAAATTCTCTTCCTTGAAGACAACTGTGTCCGCTTACCGGCAGAGTATACAAGGGTAAGGTTTAACTCTTCCACCCCCACAGTAAATGATCGACTCTTATAATAAGTTGGTTCTACCTTTTGAGTCCGTGTACAAAATCCTAAGGTGTGACCATTCAAATGAAACCCCTCTAACAGTACTTTTACATCGGTACCATCAGTTTTACCGCATTTGAAAACAAATAATTTAGAACTTTTCTCGAATTTTGACTTTGGTAACTTCTGGGAGTTAAAGAATTAAACTTCATATGCGTGACGTCATTAAAAACTGTCAGTACATGTAGTTACTCCTTACAGTTCTTCCACTCACCTATTGTAACTGTGTAAATAGAGTTTGCATATCCATCAAAGTTGCAATTATCCTTAAAATGACCTCCATTACCAGACGCCACTACAAAAATGCTACCATAACCCCTCCTCCCAGCTAGGACTCCATGAGCGAGGGCAGCCTGAAAGCGAATCCACAACAAAAAAAATCAAAACTCACACAAATCCAGAGTTTCAGCACAATTGGACATAATTTTGTGTGCAGTTTTCACCACGCATTCAGCGTACGACTCCCCGGTTAAGCCTTCACTGTTTTTGCGTTCTTTGTCTATTCCCAAGGTTGATCATGAAGGTTCATTAGAGTAACAAAATGAGTTGGTAACCTGCGCTAACTGATGAGGTCCATCAACTGTTTTTCCATTGTCATCAGGTCCCCAGCTGAAAAAAACAACAACAACAACAACAGATAAAGTGATGTGGGACTTAAAAACTACTACTATAAATTTGCACCAACAAATTGTTCTAAAAACCAACTGATCACCGTGAATATCATAATATCATAGGTAACAAAATACCGGACTGGGTACCCCATAATCTTGGTGCGAAATTTCAGAGTTAACTTATACTTTCATATGTGAAATAACAAATTGTGAAAACTGCCAACTAAAAGGCAACAGTTCGTATGTTGCAGTGCCAAGATGGTGTCGAGGTTTAAAAATGTTAAGAATGAAGATGTCGTGGGATCAAATCCGAACTTATGCCAAAATTTAAGCCCTTAACTTTTCAGCGCGTGGAGTTCTCGATAACACAAACAAGCCTAAAAACCAAGATTGTGAGTGTAATTTGTCACTCATGATGTTAATGTAATCAAATATAGACAAGTGAAATTAAGATTACTGAAAAAATTTCACCAACATTTTGTCACACATCTGACAATTTCATAAGAATTTTGACAAAACGCGCCTGAAATTATTTTCTAATTTCACTCGTCGCCATTTCATGACACACAGACAGAAAACCAGGTTGGTTAAAAACATTCAAGTTTGCCAGCCAGAGTTGAGAGGTTAAAACAAGAGGTAACGTATCTGCCAGGACAAAACAAATTGGCCATTGTTTAGAGGTGGCTGTAATTAGCAAAGGTAAGAGTGTCGAGGCTGTACAGGCCCAGTTTTGGATTAAGAAATTCAAGGAAAATTCACTAAATCTGTTATAGTTTCTTGACATAACTTGCCTACAGGATGGCCAGTTTCCAATGTTTGGTTAAAAGCCTCAAAAGTAATTCTACTGAATAGCGAGACATGACTAAACTGTCATGTTACCATGGATACTGACCTACAGCTGTAAATGTCATTGATATCCATCTTACTGTTAAATGCCATGGCCTCAAGACTGTCAGTCATTGGTCCATCTAAGATTCGCACCCCTGATTAAAATAAAATTATCAATAGGTGTCAGTAACAAGGTAGCCTGCGAACCGCAGAAGTATTTCCGGTCGTCGCTTCTCTCTCCATTTCCTCGGTGGGTGAAACTAAAGCCGAAAAAACCGGATGCTCTCGCAGGGTAGTAACAAGGCCCTGATAGGGTAAAATTCTGTCACGTGACATGCCCTGGAAAAGCGACATAAGACAAATGAAGTGTCAGCAAACAACATAAAGATGGGTTGAAACTGCAACAGCGACGAGAACAACCGCGATAAATACAATTAAGTAAAACACCAACAGGGACATGGCTTCCTCTTCGATACAGCAAATGAACGGTCTTGGAATTCAGACCCTCCTTAGATGAACCCTGCCCAATAACCGGAAAAAGCTTTGCAAGTCAGCTCACATGAAAATTCTTTACCTGACACTTTTGCACCATATGCCACACCCACGGCACAATATGTGTTGGGAACAGCAGCAATTTCACCAGCACACCTGTCAGGAAAACAGTGACAAAAAATGTTTAGAATTTTTACGGGACAATTCGTTCTTACCTACCTACATACCTCATCCTCATTAGCATTTGTGCTATGCATACTGCTATAGGTAATGGAAGGAATTTCAGTATCTTTTAGCATCACTTGACCCATCACTATAAGGAGCAGTTTTGCAACTTGTCGTCCTCATCACTGCCACCAGATGCCTTGCAGATGATCAGCACAATATAATTATTATTGTGGGATATATTTCTTAAATCGAAGTATTAATATAAGCTAAACAGTGTTAATTATCTTCACTATTAACTTCTGTTAGTCTGATTTTCTACGATATAGTTTAAGAGTTTCACTTTAGAAGTTAATCGCATTTTTTCAAGGAAAATATTAATTTGTTATATTAGTATTTACCAGGAGACTAAATGTTAAACATAAAAATATCCTTTTAAAAAGTGGAAATATATTGTAGCAATGGTAATACTTTTGTGATTTTACCTGTCTTCACGTATTTCAGTATAACTGGTCATTGCGCAAGGAACATTCCTGATATATTTCAGGTATTAAAGGTTCTTTTAGTTTGCCATTTTTTTAAAATTGATGGTATTCATAACTACATGAACAGCATTTAAGTTGTATGTTACTACCTTGTACCATGATGGTTTAAGCCTGCCTCATCAGCTCTTGGCATAGGATCATCATCATTAGAGTTTATATCCCAGCTACCTTCTGAACACTAGGATCATCATTAAAAAGTGAGATACTTTTTAGTTTTTAATTTATTAGGAATTGGTTTTATTCCTACATGATTTATTTGAGTAACAACATTAAAACAAATCGGGCCAGTTATTTCAAGGAAGTCTAACTTACATGGAGGTGTTGGACTCCAGGAAGGTGAGGTAACTCGCTTTGGTGGGGTAACCAGCCTGTCCCTATAATCTCTCATTTTAATTTGATCACGTTTTCATGAAAGGTGGGGTGACCCGCCGCATGTTACCTCACCTATCTGGGGTCCCCCACCTCCACGTAAACAGGCCCTTAGACCGCAATTTAAGAAATCATTGACCTCCAGATCTTTTGTCTTAAGGGGTTAATTTAAGACTGAAAATAAGTGCTTTTCCAGACTACGCAAATGCTTTATTCAAATTGTTCACGAAAAATGGTGTTTAGATAAAAGCGATGGGCAAACTGAAAATGGCTTAGAACGCGGTTTTGTTAAACATGGGCTAATTAAAAGTTCTGTTCTAGACATTTACAGTTGCGTTACGCGTTACGCCATGGTATAGCGTGATTATATCAAGTGACGTTGTAGCACTAGAGTTTAGACTTTTGGAACTTGACTCGAGATTCGTCGAGATATCTTTTTTAATTGATGCTGTTTAATTCCGTAAAATTCCGAAAATAAACCCCTCCAAATATAAGCCCTCCCAAACTCATAACGCAAAAAAACCTCCGTTAAATCGCCCCTCCAAATATAAGCCCGCCCGGGGGGCCTGTACTTGGAAATTCCCCTCAAATACAAAGTAAAACAAAGCAAAAACGGTAAATTTCGTTCCAACTATAAGGGTAGCCCAATCGATTTTGAGACGCAAATTTCCTTCCGTAGATAAGCTCCTCCGAATATAAGCCCCTCAAAAAATAAGCCCACAAAAAGGGCCTTTGAAAAATATAAGCCCCGGGGCTTATTTTCGGAATTTTACGGTATTTTTGTTTCTTCGGAGACCGGATATTCATATTGGTGTAATAATTGGACTCTAATCGGAACCAGTATTGTGGAATTTGCAACGGACTCGTTCGAACTTGGAAACATTTGGAGGGAAGGCTATCGAGAAAATTGGAGGAATTAAGAAGAGAAAAATAGAACAGTTAAAGAATTAAGACAAGTATTACGAATCTTCTGAACGAATTAGCAGCGGAATTATCGACGAAAATGCAAATACAAAAAAGGCTCGGAAAAACTACAGGACATCGACAAGCGACGGGATGAAATATCATTAACAGAAATTTGTACCACGCAGTTTCCAACTGTTGAATCTGTTGAACTCACTTCAAACTTCGTGCGGCGAAAATAAGCAAGCCTCGCTTACAACTTCAACAGGTGATGAAGCGGATAAAATGGTAGATCGTGTGGATAACGAGACAAAGGAAGCTCGGCTTTTCTTATCGCAAAGTAACAGCAAGGAAAGCGAAGAAAATATTAACAACACGAACAAGAGCGACACATTTGCGAGCGCACATCCCGGGGGGGGGGGGTACTGCCATATATGGGCTAAATAGGTATGTGCCGCTGTGAAGGGTATGGTTTTCAGGCAGTTTACTCTAGGATAGGGTATATAAATCAGAGCGTTTGGGTCTAGGATAGGGTATCATTTTTCAGGAAACTGATCAGTTGGTTGAAGATTTTATCTAGACAAGGGAAACAGCTACTCTAGGATAGGGGGATTTAGGGAGTTTACTCTAGTATAGGGTAGCAAAATTCAGCTGAACTAGCTCTGGTATAGGTTAAGGGTTCCAGGGTCCCAGCGGCACATCCCCACCCAGAAATTCCTAAAGTACCCCCCCGGGGCGCACATGGCAAGGATGGTCACGTGGTCGATGCAAATAAACAGCTTGAGCAGATTCGAGTCCCGAAGTTTTTGGGCGACAAGAAAGAATATCAGTCGTGGCGGGCAGCATTTTCCAATTGTATGGATGAAACGAATTTGTCAGCTCAGTTTAAAATGTTGCAGCACGAAAGTTGTTTAGAAGGAGAGGTGGCTGAAACGGTGAAAGAGCTAGGTTACTTGGATCATGCCTACGAAGCGGCTAAGGCAAGGTTGAATCGAAAGTATGGGGGAAACAGGCGACAGGTTCAAGCCTATATCGATGAGCTAGGAAAGATGAGGCCAATAAAAGTTGATAATCCGAGAGAGCTAGAAAGATTTGCTGACATACTTGAGAGGACTGTGGTTTCTTTAAAGGAAAATATAAAGTTTGCTGACCTGGAAGGAAGAACATTCTGTGCTATGCAATTGTGCTGGAAAAACTTCCTCAAGCTCTTTGTCTTCTACTTAGCCAGTACTATCGATGGATTAAAGAGAAGGGAAGCATGAAGTCTCTTGACGAGCTGAGTCACTTGGGTTGCTGAGGAAGCTGAGTACCAGCTACAAGCATCAGAAATTAAGTATGGTTTGCCCAGTGTTGGAAATGCACGAGGAAAGAGCTCAACCAAGTCTTATTTCGAGACCGCGGAAGAGAAACGTGATCATCTCTATAAAGTGCGCACACCCATTTTGGAAATGTGACGTGTTCAAGGGAACGTAACTTAAAAAGAAATGGGAGACGGCGAAGAAACTTGGACTGTGCTACCGCTGCTTGGTGACTCATGTGCTTGGAGCAGAGAGTGTGGAATTGACGGATGCAAGGACCGACGCCACCGGTTACTTCATGATGAGAAAGTAGCTCCTGGTCCACGTAGGGAAAGGATGACACATCTGTGACGGAGGGAAACAAGTCCAGTACGTATGAAATAGTGCAAGAACATGAACAGAGGAGTATTACAATGTGGACTGTTCCGGTCTCTCTGAAACAAGGGGGCAGACGATAGCAAGTTAATTGTTTCTTGGATGAAGGTAGTGATACGTCGTATGTTAATGACGATGTGGTAGAGGAACTGGGGTTGGATGGTAGGAAGGAAAAAGTAATTATCAATGTTGCTAATGGTCAGAAAGTCAATTTAAAGTCAGCAACCATGGAGATTGGCTTGGAGAGTCTGGATGGTCGGGTGAACACAGTCATTATAGCGAAAACATCTAATAACATCTGTGGTGTGATGAAACCCACCAACTGGCTGCAAATCAAAGACCAATGGAAACATTTGAGGGACATTCCTTTTCCTAAACTTGGAAAAAGAAGTAAAATGGCTGTTCTTATTAGTTCAGATTATTACAACCTGCTGTTTCCTATGAAAGAGGTTCGTGGATGCGACAATAAACCTAGTGCCACACTGTGTCCATTGGGGTGGACAGCAATTGGTACCATTGGTATGTCTGAGGGACATGGAGCAAGTAACACTAGTTACCTTAACACCTATCACATACGGCAGGCAAAGTGTAGTGCTGGAGATCTGAACTATCTGCTGAAACAATTTTGGAGCCTTAAAGCCATTGGGATCACACCGCAGCAACCACTTTTCCCCGAAGAGAAACTTACCTTTGATAAAGTGAACGAATCAATCAGGTTTGATGGTGAGAGATATGACGTTGCTGTGCCTTGGAAACATGAAAGACCAAATTACCGCCAAACCGACAGATGACAGAGACGCGCCTTCATACAGTCGTGAAAAAGTTAATGCAAGATGAGAAGCTGGCACAGGCTTACCAGCCAGTGGTTGAAGACTACTTAAGTAAAGGACATATCCGAGAAGTCCCAGAGGATGAACCAAAACCACTATCAGAATGGTTCCTTCCACATTTCCCTGTGGTAAGGGCAGAGAAGGCCACAACCAAA